TCAAGTTATACTGAATAAAACATTGCTTTTCTGGACCTTCAGGATAAAAGTAAAACCAGAGAAACTAGGTAGTTCTCAGGAAGAGGCGTGACAGAAATAGAAACGTGTTCGTAAATCAGAGGATGGTTGTTAAACACATTTCAGAATTAAAAATCAAAACCTCTTGCAATCTTACTAAAAGCAATTAATATTTAAGAAATCTTTGTTGACTGGGTGCAGTGGCTCTCACGCCTGTAATTCCAGCACTTTGGGAGGCCGAGACAGGCGGATCACGAGGTCAGGAGATCAAGATCATCCTGGCTAACACGGTGAAACCCCGTCTCTACTAAAAAATACAAAAAACTAGCCGGGCGGGCGGTGGGTGGCGGGTGCCTGTAGTCCCAGCTACTCGGGAGGCTGAGGCAGGAGAAAGGCGTAAACCCGGGAGGTGGAGCTTGCAGTGAACTGAGATCCGGCCACTGCACTCCAGCCTGGGCGACAGAGTGAGACTCTGTCTCAAAAAAAAAAAAAAAAAAAGAAAAGAAGCCTTTGTTGTTTTAACATAGGGGACCAAACTTTTAAACTTTGTATCAGTGTATTTTAACATCAAAGTTTATTCTTTGGAAAGACTGTCACAAATAATTTCTTTTAATTATAGCCAGCTTAATCACACCCAGAATTTCCTTCACAAGTTCCCATTCATGAACCTTATCATGATTTACTCAGACCATCTATGGATTACTGAGACACTCTGCCTCACTCTATATGTCCTCTTTCTTCTTAAGTAAGCAATCATGTCACTCTAGGAAAAAGATTTACCATGCAAGACTTTCTCATACAAAATTATTCTCTTATCTTTACATCTATAACTTTTCTTATATCTCTTTCTCTCTCTCTTATTTACAGTTCCTTTCTATCTTGTTTCTATTTCCTTCCTAAATCCACATTTTGACACTCCCTTTAAATAACCTTTGACTTAGAAAAAAATATTTTTCTCAATAAAAGACATTTTTTCCACTTATAATTTTTTTCTCTTATTAAACACACCTGACTTTGGTATATTTTATATACAGAATCATATATCAACTGGAATTTTTAGCTTCTAGTAACCTTAAATTTTATTAAAAACATAGGAAGTACAAAATCTTGAATTGCCTGTTACATATCATTATTTAATAGATAAGAACCATTTTATTTTTAATATTTTTCAATTTTTTATGTTTGTTTTAGAGACAGGGTCTTGCTCTTTTGCCCAGGCTCGAGTGCAGTGTCATGATCATGGCTCACTGCAGCCTCAAACTGTTGGGCTCAAGCAACCCTCTCACCTCAGCCTCCCAGGTAGCTGAAACTCTAAGTGTGTGTCACCATACCTGGCTAATTATTTTATTTTTGTAGAGATGTAGTCTTGCCTTGTTACCCAGGGTGGTCTCAAACTTCTGGCCTCAAGCAATCCTCCCACCTTAGCCTCCCAAAGTGCTGAGATTATAGGCATGAGCCACCATGCTTGGCCAAGAGCCATTTTATAATTGTCAGAAAAAGATATTTCCCTATAACATATTTTTATGCATATTTAATCTTTCTATTAGTCTTTCTAGTCTTTCTATTAAATTTAAGAAACCAAGGACAACTCTATTTATGTTCAGCAGTTTGTTTCAGTTTTTATCACATTTGAAAATGCCTTGTACATTTAATGAGTATCTATTATTTAATTTAGGATTTCAAATTACATAAAAATTTATTTATAGCTATTTATCCCATTTACCTTTATTTCTTTGTTTTTAGCAGTGTGCTGAGATTACTTATGAAAACAGGTAATAGACAAAGCTAGTCATCATTCCAAATTATTTATCTATTAATTATTTTATATAACTGCATGTCAGGCAAACATTATAAAAGTAATGACCTTAAAGTCCAATAATTCAGAGGACACAGGCATTCCCATCAATTCGACAATCTTGAACTCTTCCCATTTGCCAAAAAATTTCTAAGTCACATGAACTTGAAAAGTGCCTGGTCTTATTTGCTTGATTTATGAGTACTCATCTATTTGTAAGTCAATTTGGTATCATAGACAAATACAGCCAGACTTGTACATGCAGCCAGATACAAATAATGATCATGTAGCTTTAATTTTTAAAACTTTAGCCATATGTCAGGCATAACTCACTAGTTGAAAGGGGCAGTTAGATTCAAACTTCATCACTGTCAAACTAACATTTTTAGTTTAAATTTTTCTGTTCCATGTAGCTGAAGCCCCTTACTGAATTTCAGAGAAACCAGAGTAGCAAAGTAGTCAGGTGGACCGGCAGGAAGAGAGGAGCTAGTGGAAGAAGTTTAGCTCTAGAGTAAATTAGAAAGCTCGTAAGTCTCTTTTCTACATTAGTTATTACCCAACGTTCCTAGATCATAGAGGATCCCCAGTCCCATTATTTTTAATCCTATCAGAAACTGTGGTATCTGGTGGGCTGATTGATGGGCAGCTTCTTCCTCCACCTGCCCAGGATGGTTAGGGCGTTCCCATTTCCAATGGTCCTCTTGTTTACAATATGCACATCGTGGCCTCAAGACTGTATGGCCATTTTGGCCAGCAGTGGGGTCCCTAGGGGTCTTACCCATGGCCATTTGTTTTTCCTAGCATGCTCCATCTTGTGCCTCAACTGGTTGTGGGCAAGAGCCACAGCAAGCAGCATAGCTTGTTGTCTCATGTTACATTGCTTTTGCCCTTCCTGGACTTGAACAAGATGAATTAAATGCCTTAAAGGCAATCTCGACTACTTGAGATACTGATATTCCCAACACCTTTTCTACTTTTTGTAGTTTTCCTCTTGTACCAGGGGCACTCTGACTGATAAAACTCTTAGGTTACCTGGGTGTTCGGGTCAATGTTACTGTATTGCCCGAAGGCTTTAAAGACCACAAGAAAGGAAGAAGCATTTTCTTTGGCCACTGTTGGACCTTTATGCCTTGTTCTGCTGAAGTCCTGCTACAATTACATTCCTCATTTTGCTTGGAGGTTTATCTCAGATGGTTAGAGCAAGGCCCTGCACTAGACAGAGATATATATATTTTGGGTCTGTAATGTGGTACTTATGGAGATTCCTTCCCAGTGAATCACCAATGGGTTGGGTATCCCCTAGTCACCTAGGAGTACCTAAAAGGGCTGGAGGGAGCAATGTAGTCCCTCAATTAAATAATTTTCTAATTAGGCTGTTTCTGTACTATCAAAATGTTAACCACTGTTTAAGCCAAATATTACTGCTTATATCAGAATACAAACAGAAACAGAAACAGCCAATCAAACAAGACAAACCACAGCATTTTGGACTCTGAGTTTGATCCCCTCAATGGGAGCAAACAGACAAGGCTCAAACTTGTCCCTGTAAGCTTCAGACATCTTTAATCCATTCTGGATGGGGAAGGTTGATCTCCAGCCCATAATCAAGCAAATAATTTGCTCAGTCTAGTTGATTGGAGTAGACAGCAACTCTGAGTCAGGCCTCCTTGGCTGCCACTGGCAGCTTCTTCAGGGTTTGCTGAATGGTCTTAACAACATTAAACAAGTGACTAGACAAACCCGAAACTTAACACATACACATATACACATCCAAGTTCCAAGTTCCCAGTCAAGTTCCTAGTCAAATTTATAATCAAGAGTACCATGTGAACATACCCCTTATTCTCCTTTCAATTAAAGTTGAAATCCCCTAACAAAGCCCCCTTGTGGAGGTTGACAAAGCCCCCTAGTGGAAGTTGATAAGAAAGGAGCTGAGAGTTGGTCACTTGTACAGAGATTTAATTCACCACAAAATAAAAATAAAAATAATGAAAAAATGTGTTCCAAAATTCAAAACTTCTCTTTGCTGCAAAAATGAAAGTAAAAGCACCAAAAGTCAGCAGGGCCATGCTGGAGAGATAGGAACCAAGAGCAAATCACTGAGTAAAACACCTGGACAGCTGCTCAGACCCTCAGGTGGATCCCATCCCTAATATGGAGCTAGTGAGCCACAGGCAGAAATCTCCTGAAAGGATTTAGAGAAGTCTGATCTGGGTCACCAACTTTGTTGTTGAACTAAACTGGGTCCATTTGCCCATGCACAATGGAAAGCCAAACACTGAAGAACCAAGTTTTTGCAGCAAGAAAGGTTTATTGTGAGTGAACTGGCAAGGAGACAGATCTCAAATCTGTCTCCCCAAGCTGAGGATTGGGGCAGGTTTTATAGTCTGAGGGTAATGAGACATGATCCTAATTGGATCTTGCCATAGGATGATGTCAGGAGGTATGCTCTGATTGGATCCTTCCCTGGTGTGATACCAGGGCTGTCTGATTGGATCCTGCAGCCCGCCATGCAATGTATGCTTCTTAATTTTAGTGCATGTTCCTTGTTCTGGACACTTAGCTTCTACCTGTGGTTGCATGCTTGGTTTATCTTGGCGTGTTCGTGGCCTTCAATCTGGGTGTCCATGGCAACTGAAGAGCTTTGTTATGTTAAAGTTGAACCAGATTGATCTGATGTGTTTACACAACCTATAAATATATTTCTAATTACATTGAATTTAAAGTAAACTTTTTATTCTAAGCAGTGTTGTTCTTATACGGATGTGAATATATGTCATATCCCAGAGAAGCAGAGATACTATTCCCCAGTACATCTTCTTGTAGGCATAAAATCAGATCTAAAATACAAAGGTTATGGAAGAAAAAGATAAATGTTTGTGAGATCAGGTGACAGATTCACTGTCGTCACATAATCCAATATTATCATCACTCCATGATTATTGAGATATATTTAACTCTATACTATGCTACTTTTAATTTTTTGTTGTTCTTTCTAGTGATCTTAATATTAAATTTGAGAAGCACATTTTTTAACTGCTCTTTGTTACTTCTTACTTTGGTTTATAGTTTGGTCTTCTCACATCATTTAAATAATATTTGTATAGGGATAAAGGAAGTGCAGTTTTGCTGATTTTATAATATATACAATATGGAAACTTTTCTTTTTTTTTTTTTTTACTTGTAGAATTTCAAGAACCCTATGCTGTCGTAGTACTTCTGGAGAAAGATCTCATTGTAGTTGATCTGACACAAAGCAAGTAAGTTATCCATGTACAGATTAACACTTTTAAACTCTATTTATTTTAGATAATTGGCATTTGTATTCTTTAGATAGAAAATATTCTTTGTGTGAATATTGGTTTGCTAGAATTACAGAAATGCACTTTGGTTCAATGGTGAAAATGAAACCAGGAGAATTTGGGAAACACTGAGAAAACTGTAAGACAACTTAAAGGCAGCACCTGATGTTTGGACAGAAACATTGAAGACTCAGGACACATAAAATTGATCACATTTTTGTTGTTTCCTTAAAGAAAATCAATCATTATGAAAACTTGTGCAATGTGATAGCTAAGTAATGGAAAATGACACATGATAAAAGTATTATTGCACTACTGCAGCAGACAACACAGAACACCAGAATCTCAGGGGCAGAGAAGACTGGGGCCTTCTTTTACTTTTTTCCTTTTTCATTATGTTACAGGCAATTGAAAAAAGTGTAGAATACTGCTATTATAGTGGTGCTCTCCACTCCTTTACATTGTCAGTAAAAATCTTCTGTCCATTTTTATTATAATGGTAATAGCATGAAACTAATTTCCATCATTTTATGTTCTTCCACTGATTTTTTTAGCCTCATATATTTGTAATACAATTTTGTAAGTTGTCTCTCCTTGGCCTGGAATAACTTTCTCTTCAATTTTTCTCTTTACCAACATCTTATCTGTAAGATTCTCAAGTCAGATATCACTTCCCTATTTTTTAAAAAAATTCATTATCTGTATAATTTGGTAACATATCCTAATATGGGCTCTCATAACCCCCACATTTCTCTCTTCATAGCTTTTGACACAGATACAATTTTCTATTTGCTGTTGCTTAAAGATTGTCTTCCCGCTAGGCTGTAGACTCCATGAAGGAGGGGCTCTGTCTCCACATGGAGTCAGATCTCAATAAATTTTTGTTGAATAAATCAATCCGAATTCTACTCTTCAAGTTGTTTGTAAATGTAAGATCCAGGGTTCTTCCTCATACTAATTTGCAGATATTATTCTCAGGATTTTAAAAGGGATGTAGGATTTGGGCCATGAAATCATCATAACTGGGAATTCTACTTAGCTGCCCTAATTATCAACATAAGACTTTTTGTGTAGATGTAAGGATTTATGCTTATTCCTCTAAGAAGTTCTAATATGAGTCTTATTAAAATATACTCTTCTAATCTCATTGGTATTCAGCTCTTCTTTGTATGTCATATTTGTTGGTTACTCATACTTTGCCTAAGTATCTAACATCCTTGCAGGCCCATTATACTTTACCTTTCATGGCCACTTTCTTCAGTGTGTGTATGTGTGTGTGTGTATATATATATTATATATATATATAAATTGTGTATATATATACTGTATATATATATTCTTTTGTTTAAATTTTATTTTATTGTGACAGAATATGCATAACATAAAAGTTACCATTTTATGTATACATACATTCTTGTGGTTTTCATTACCCTATATAAGTATGTGAATTAACATTTTGTTTGCAAGTTTTCTCTAACATTTTACCTTTTTTAGCATGTATTAAAATCTCTGGCTCAGCTTAATCCCACTTACAAACGTCAGTGGTCGGCCATTCCCACTATCAAATTGGGCTGTTACCATGGGAATTTAACCATGTCAAAAACTGACTGGTAAGAGACTCGTTCTCTTTCCCTCCACAATGTAAATGGTTATCCTTCCTCCATGTACCTCAGCTATATTGAATGTTAAACAAGTTATAACTTTGGAATCCTTTTCATTTTTTTTTCTTTTTATCTTTTTCTCTCCATTTAATCCCCAACCCAAAGGCAAGCATTAGGGTTTAGAAATTATTTCTATTCTTGATTTCTTGGATTCATATCTTCATTTCTATTTTCACAGCAACCAGTTTATACTTTTATGTCTAAATTCCTCTTGTAAATTTTTAGCTACTTCTCTTTTTAATATCTTTTTGCCTACTCTTTGCCAATGTACTAAAATAATTTTTCTCAAAAAATTTCATAATATTTAACTTTGTCAGGAGCCTATTATTGTTACCTCTTGCTATTATCAAATTCTAAATTGTAGGCCTTGTCTTCAAGGGGATCCATTTATCTTCTAACTCTTTAATCTTAGAAATGTTAATAATTTGTACTCTGAAACAGAGAATCTCTGATATATCTAGTTTAACCTCTGGTACCTCTAGTTTAACCTACTTGTCACTTAAAGAGACATGAATTGTTCCTTTAACCTGATTTTGCATATATAACTATTCTTATTTGGGATACTATCTGCAACATTTCAGATTGGTAGAAAGAGAACTGCTGCCAGAACACACACACATACACACACACACACACACACACACACACACACACCCCATATTTTCTGGAGATTGGACTAAACTCCTAATTTTTTAATTAAGTTCCTAATAATATGAGAAAAAACTGTTTTCTAACAGGCACCTCCTACCCTAAAAAAACACATAGTTTCAGAAGTTATATGATGACACCTGGAACAGATATGGCATAGAATAATACTAATTTCCTCCTTGCACAGTGCCTGGTACATACGATGTTCTAAATAGCTACAGGGATTTTAAATTTGATTTCATACTCATTTCCTTTTTAAGGTTATAGTAAGCTTGAGGATATGAAAGTTATTACATCCATAAGTCTTCATTCCAACTATGTTCTCTAGTTTACATAGGAAATGATCTTTTGGATATACACAGTCACATACACACAAACCTACATATGACACACATCTTTTCATTATTCCTGCAAAAAGTTTAAAAGTTTCCTATCTATTACGTCTTTGTCTTAGTCCCTTTTATATTGTTATGAAGGAATACTCAAGGCTAGATAATTTATAAAGAAAAATGATATTTTGGTTCACAATCCTGATGTCTAGAAAGTCCAAGTTTGAGTGTCTGCATCTGTTGAGGGTCTCAGGCTGTTTCTACTCATTGCAGAAAGTGAAGGGAAGTCAGAATGTGCAGAAATCACATGGTGAGAAAGAAAGCAAGAGAGAGAGGGGACAGGTTTCAGGCTTTTTTAAACAACCAGCTCTCGTAGGAACTAAGAGTGGGAACTCGTCCCTGAGGGAAGGCATTAATCTATTCATGAGGAATCTGCCCCTGTGAAGGTGAAAAACATCCCAATCATAGCATTCTTCTCCTGAATCCCCAAAACTCATGTCCTCACATATAAGATACAATCATTCCTTTCCAATGGTCTCAAAATCTTAATTCATTTTAACATCCATTCAAAAGTTTGAAGTATTATAAAATATGAAACAAGTTCTTTACTTCCAAGGTAACAATGGTTGTATAGGTGTTGGGTAAACATTTCCATTCCAGTAGGAAGGCGTAACAAGTCTTATGCAGCTTTAAAACACAGCAGAGTAGACATTAAATCTTAAAGCTCCAAAATAATCTTCTTTGACTCCATGTCCTGCATCCTGGAAACACTGGTGCAAGGAGTGGTCTCCCAAGGCCTTGGCAGTCCTGTCCCCATGTTTTTGCTGCACACAGTCCATGTGGCTGCTTTCATATGTTGGAGTTGAATGCCTGAGGCTTTTCCAGACTGAGGTTGCACACTGCTGATGGCTCTGCCTATGTGACAGGTTTCAGCATGGGCACCCAGGCTTTTTGATGTATCCTCTGATATCTAGGGGGCAGCTGCCAAGCCTCCATGGCTCTTGTGTTCTGGGTGCCTGCAGACTTAACACCATGTGGATTCACAAGGCTTATGGCTTGTGCCCTCTGGAGCAGCAACCACAGCAGCAACTGGGTCCATTTGAGCCATAGTGGGAGCTGGAGTTGTAGGAATGTAAGGAACAGCGACCCAAAGGGGCACAGGGCAGTGGTGCCCTGGTCCTGTCCCCCAAAACCATTCTGTTCTCCTAGGCTCCTGGGACTGTGATGGGATGGGTGGCCTCAAAGATTTCTGAAATACCTTTTGTCCATTGTCTTGACTATTAATACCTTGCTCCCTTACTGGTCATGCTAATCTCTTTAGCAAGTAGTTGCTTAGATTCCCCTCCTGAAAACACTCTTTTCTTTACTACCACATGGCCAGGCTGCAAATTTTTCAAATGTTAATGCTCTGCTTCTCTTTTAATTATAGATTCTTCCGTTAGGTGATTCCATTGTGGACATAATTTAGTGTAAGCTGTTAAAAGTAACAATGCCACTTCTTTTGTTTTTTTGTTTTTTTTTTTGAGACGGAGTCTCGCTCTGTCGCCCAGGCTGGAGTGCAGTGGCCGGATCTCAGCTCACTGCAAGCTCCGCCTCCTGGGTTCACGCCATTCTCCTGCCTCAGCCGCCCGAGTAGCTGGGACTACAGGCGCCCGCCTCCTCGCCTGGCTAGTTTTTTGTATTTTTTTTAGTAGAGACGGGGTTTCACCGTGTTAGCCAGGATGGTCTCGATCTCCTGACCTCGTGATCCGCCCGTCTTGGCCTCCCAAAGTGCTGGGATTACAGGCTTGAGCCACCGCACCCGGCCAACAATGCCACTTCTTGAGCACTTTGCTGCTTAGAATTTTTTTCTGCCAGATACTCAAGGTCATCACTCTTAAGGTTAGCCTTCCACAATGCAGCCAAATTCTTTGCTACAGTGCCACAATGCAGCCAGGTTCTTTGCTGCAGTGCAACAATGGGGATATTTGCTCCAGTTCCCAATAAGTTCCTAATTTCTGTCTGAGACCTCATTAGCATGGCCTTTTCTACCCATATTTCTGTCAGTATTTTGGTCACAACTACTTAACCAATTTCTAAGAAGTTCCAAACTTTCCCTCATATTTTTATCTTCTGAGCTCTCCAAACTCTTCCAACTTCTACCCGTCACTCATTTCTAAAGTGCTTCCACAATTTCAGGTATCTTTATAGCAACACCCCGTTCCTCAGTACTAATTTTCTGTCTTAGTCTGTTTTGTGTTGCTATAAAGGAACACCTGAAGCTAGTAATTAAAAAAAAAAAAAAAGTTTATTTTGTTTACAAGATTGGGCATCTGTATGTGGTGAGAACCTCAGCTGTTTTCACTCATGGCAAAAGGTGAAGGGGAGCTGAGCTGGTGTGTGCAGAGGTTACGTGATGAAAGAAGAAACAAGCAAAAAGGAGGAGACTCCAGGCTCTTTTTAACAACCAGCTCTCACAGGAACGAAAAGGGAGAACTCATTCACCTCCTAGACAGGACATTAATCAATTCATGAGGGATCTGCCCCATAAGCCAAACACCTGTCATTAGGCTCCACCTCCAACACTGGGGACTAAATTTCAAGATGAGATTTGGAGGGGACAAACAAACGTCCAAACCATAGCACCCCCACTGAAAGAAAGTCAAAATTTATTTATATTTTAATATTTGTAAGGATACGAAATAAATATTTACCATTGTATGTAGGTAAAGTTCTTAGTTTATTTTTAGTGAATTAACTAAGTAAACTTGTTATATAATAGTTTCAGATTAATAGAATTCATTGTATCTATATTAGCAAAGCAATGCCACTGTGGAATGTTAGAATTATGAGAAGTAAATTTTGAGCTTGAGTAAAATTTTACTAGCATTAACATTACATTTTATAAATTACTGTTACAAAAAGATCATTTTTGTTCATACAATTCTTGTTTTATGGTACTTAAAAAACAAGTGAAATTTATAGTAAACGTTTAGAGACATTTTAGGGCTTACTTTATCAAAATTATTTTCTATTTTTTCTTTGTAAAATAACACTGATATATTGTCTTTATCTATTAGTTTTCCAATCTTTGAAAATCCATATCCCATGGACATTCATGAATCACCAGTTACATGCACAGCATACTTTGCAGATTGTCCTCCGGATTTGATTCTAGTACTGTATTCCATAGGAGTCAAGCATAAAAAACAAGGATACAGTAATAAGGTAAAAGTAGAAATTATAAATAACTTTTCTTGTATTCATATCACATGATCATACTTTTTCCCATTACTTTATTTTCTTACATTCCATATAGGAGGACTTGAACTAAATTATTTCTAATTTAAAAACCAACATCTATTAAAGACGTAACTTCTTAAATTCAAACTTTCTAAATGCTACTTAGCTTTAAGCCTACAGAGGTATAATTTCTTATATAGAAGGTATATAATTATATACTGATATACTTATCTATTACGTGCATTTATATACTAAGCATGTACTTATATTAATATATATTTGAGTCATAAGATATAAGCTTTATTTTAGATGAAAACTTATGTTTTAAGAAAACAAAAAGACTCAAGTCTTCCTAGTTAATAATTAATTAATGGTTTAGGAAACATAATTATTAAAAGTCATTTGTTAAATAACATTCTAGAATTTTTTATTATAGTTTACTACAAGATTCAACTATTTATAATTGTAACAGATTATCTATTATGATTTCTGTTATTTTCCCAGGGCTGTTGGGATGGACAACTTCAAGAGACACTATTTACATAGCTTCTATGTTAAATGGCACCACAGTAGTTTGGTGGTACACAGACTATATGAGACTATATGACACATGTAGCAACACTGTATTTGTACAATTAAAAATACTTCTTTGATTTGTTTATATAAATGGTAAGATTGACTAAAATCTATATTTTTAAGGGAGATGGAATTGTGCATTTAGACGTGTTTGTTCAATGAAAAAATTAAAAGACAGCTACACACTTCATTCTTGATTATTTTACAGTTAGTTTGTCTAAGTGAACTTTTTATCATTATTTTAAGCTATTTTCATTTTAAATTTCTAAGCCATTTGAACATATATACATACTTTCTGGATAATCTATTTAGGAGTGGCCAATCAGTGGAGGAGCTTGGAACCTTGGAGCACAAACGTATCCAGAAATTATTATTACTGGGTAAGTAGATGTGTTTTGTGAGTTATTAATTCATCAACATAAAGATGTTTACTGAGTCTTGATACTTTTCCATAATTGTGTTCTATGCAGAATAATAGTTTAAGTAAAAGTAAAGATATAAGAAATTGCTTCTACCCAAAGATTCTCATCTTGACAGAGGATATAATCAAACCATTGGAAACATAATAACAAAAAAGAAAGCATAGATTATATCACCAGGAGAAAGTCAAAGTGGGGAAGTCATGAGATATTAGTCTTCACTGGAAATCACAGAATATTAGCTTTACAAAGGCCCTTACAAACAATTACCTATTTCTGCCAAATTCAGGAATCACTGCTCTATATCTGTACGAGGTGGTTATTTTAAATATTTCTCAAAACTTACAGCACCAGAAATAACACTTCTTTGTATGACAACCCACTTGATGTTTTAATATTAGAAACAAAAATAGAGACATAGCTAATGATAAATATGAGATTTAAAAGGTAATAAGCGTTCTGCTAATGGGAAGATAAATATACTTTTTCCTATTCTTCCCACTAAATGACTAAAAACTCTGGATATTATATATAAGATAAACATAAGATGACTAGGAAATGTGAAGAAGCGTCAGATCAGGTAGGACCCCTAAGTCTTAAAGAATGACATGGAAGTCAGTTCCCTAAGTTTTCTTTCTGCCTCATATATCCCAGAATTAGAGCTAAAGAAGCTAGTAACCTAGAAATGTGAATGGACACAGATGAAAAATCCCAACAAAACCTAGCTCTCTTTAGCCATGAAATGAAGAAAGCAGCAGTATATCAAGACAGAAAACATTTAGAAAATAATCTCTCTACTTAGGTTTAACAACACACACACACACACACACACACACACACACACACACACACACCTTCCTCCCACACACACAACTGTGGCCCTCCCCAACTCACTCCAGTAAAGGCCAAGTAGAGAGCTTAGACTTTCACCCTTGTCAAGGTATAATGAGGTACCCCAGCTTCCCCAGAGTGTCAGATAAAGCAGAGTAGGGAGCTGGGGCTTTGAATCATGGGGTGAAACCCCTCTCTTGTGGTGTCAGTGGGGAGCTAGAATTCTCACCACTGTCCAGCAGTAATGAGTAGCTACCATTCCCTATCCCCTTCCCTGTGCCAACAGAAATAAATGAGGAAGGAGAGAAGAAAGGGTGGGACTGAAAAGTATTAAGGAAATAATGGCTGAAAACTTATCAAATTTAGCAAAACAACATGAACCTTCCAGAAGCTGAGCAAACCCCAATAAATCTATACCAAGATAAATTATCATCAAATTTCTGAGCAGTAAATACTAAAAGAAAAAAATCTGGAAAGTCACAATAGAGAAATGACATCTAACCTATAGGGCCAAACCAGTTTGAATGACAGCAGATTTTTCATCAGAAAAATCTGCCTGCCAAAAGGAAAAGTGAGTATTTTTCAAGTACTGAAAGAAAAAGAAATATCAATCCTGAATCCTATACCCAGTGAAAATATCCTTCAAGAATTAAGGCAAAATAAAGATCAAAATCCATCATTTCCAGATGCAATAAACTAAGAGAATTTTTCAACACCAAATCTACCTTTAAAAAAGTAACTACAAGAAGTTCCCTACACAGAAAGGAAATGAGCCTTGGTTCATCAAGAAGGAAGAAATAATACAATAACAAAAGTATGGATAAATACAATAGGCTTTCCATCTCTTGAATTTTTAAATGTATATTTTATGGTTGAAGCAAAGATTATAGTAACAGTGTCTGATGTTACTATAATCACATTGACTGGTATGGTTCTAAATGTGTATAGAGGAGATGTTTAATACAATTATAAATGGGAGAGGATAAAAAGATGTAAAGAAAGTTAAGGCTTTTATATATCTTGAACTGGTAATAAGATGACACTGGTAGAATGTGATAAGTTGTGATACAATGTAATACCTAAAAAAACTTTAAAAATTATGCAGAGGTGTACTTAAAAACACTACTGACAAATCAAAATGGAAGCACTATAATATTTCAAGTAACAGGAAGGCAGAAAAAGAGGAAACAGGAAAAAAAGCAGAAAAAATTATATGGTTTACTGAAGCCCTAACATATCAATAATTATATTAAATATAAATGGTCTAAATACTTCCATGCAAATATGAAAATTGATAGAGTGGGTTAAAAACATGACCAGCTATATGTTATTTGCAATACATTCACTTCAAATATAACAGCATAGACAATTTGACAGTAAAAAGAAAAAAAAGTATGAAAAAGAATTAATTGAGAGTGACATCAGCAAGGTAACAGAATAGGAAGCCCTAGACTTTGTTCTCTACAGATACACTCACTTTACAACAATATATGGTTCAAAAAGCCATTATGATAACTTCAGAAACCGTTTAGGAAGTCACAGTACCCCAGACAAGCTCAAAGCCAAGAATGGTCACACTGAAATGGGTAAGAAAAGTGTGGCATTTCAGAAACATCAGTCCTTTTTCTGAGCTGGCACAGCTCACAATTAGGAGGAAAAGTGCAACTCATGGCTTCACCTTTTTGAGGGAAAGAAAAGAGTGGAAGATATATGCAATGTTCTAGATTTATAGTGGCTGCTCAAGGGACTAATTTCTGTATCATGTGATAGAGATCTGGCATACTCTGCATACCTGGGTGCCACTGAGAGCAAAATATATTTCAGTGGCTTGTAGCATCAGAGAACCTGCAGTATTTCAGACAGATACTAGGGGCAGCAAGATACTACAAGTTCCTGAAAAAGAAACTGGAAAACTTCACTAGTTAGGAATTACATGCACAAGCCCAGAGAAGATAAATTCCCATAAAAAGTTTGAGAGGCTCTTAGAATCTCTACCTGAACTGATTTATGAAAAATGTCCCCTGTACAAAGTCAGTCCATAAGGATGTGACTACTTTTTCATATTAAAGTCAACAAAAAGAAAGCATACAAAGAGACAGGGAAACATGGCCCAATCAGAGAGACAAAAAAAAAAAAAAAAATCCAGTAACTGATTTTAACCCTTTTCCTACTTGTCCCAACAATACTCACTGGTAGCACTTGCAGCTGTGACATTTATGCCAAGATAACTTTACCTCAAAATATCTCACTTTTATTATTATTGTCATATCACTCTAGTATATTGACTTTGGAAATAAAAGACATCATTGTATTTACAGCATTCTGTTTTTAGTAGTGGTATTTCCATTTACAAAATATAGTAATTCTCCATCACTGAAAATGTCATATCCTAGAAAACACAGCATTCCTACGTGTGAAGGTAACATCATTCTTGTACAGCTTTTGGCTGAGGATTCATTTGGTGAATTTATTTTTTCCGAAATAGACTATTCTGATGTTAGTTCTGTTCAGAAATAACTCCAGGAACAGTTTTCATGTTTTATTTTCACATTGAAAACCAGTCAGATTTTCTTCAGCCTCAAAAAGTGTATTTATGTAAAATTAAACGAGCACTGGAAGCAAGCTGTACTTTTTTATTCTAAATGGGAAAAGGGTTAAAGAAACAGAAATCTGTGTATTACCTGACAAAGAGTTCAAAATAATCATCTTAAAGAAACTCAATATATTAGAGAATACAAATAGAAAACTAAACAAAATGTGGGAAATGATGCATGAACAAAATGAGAATATCAACAGAGTTTGAAATTATTAAAAAGGAACAATTCTAGATCTGAAGAATACGGTAATTTATTTGAAAAATTCATTAGAGAGTCGTCAACAACAGACTTGGCCAAGCAAAAGGAAGAATCAGTAAACTGGAAAATAGCTCACTTGAAATTACTGAGTCAGAGGAACAAAAAGAAGAGGGCCTAAGACCCTTATGAACACATTCAAGTGGACTGATGTATACATTATGGGAATTTAAGAAGGGGTGGGGGGAGAGAGAGAGAGAGAGAGAGAGAGAGAGAGAGTGAATGGAGCAGAGAGAATGGAGCAGGGAGCTTACTTGAAGAAATAATGGTCAAAATTTTCCCCAGTTGGAGGAAAGAAATGGAAATTCAAATTCAAGAAGCTTAAACAAGTCCAATAATATGAACCCAAAGAAGCTCATAAAGAGACACATTATAATCAAACTGTCGAAAATAAAAGACAAAAAGAAAATCTTGAAAGCATCAAGAAGAAAAATTCTTATCACATGCAAGGAAATCCCCATGAGATTGTCAGCAGGTTTTTCAGCAGAAGCATGGCAGACTAGAAGGGAGTGGGATAATATACTCAAAGTGCTGAAAGAAAAAAACCCCACCAACTTAGAATACTATATTTGGCATAACCCACTTCAAAAATGAAGGAGAAATAAGCCCTCCCTATATAAACAAAAACTGAAGGAATTCATCAACACTAGACATGTCTTACATAAATTGCTGAGAGTTCCTTCAGTTGAAACAAACACACTAGACAACAACACCAAAGCATACAAAAACTTAAAAGCTCTCTGGTAAAGTTAAATTTATAGACAAATATAGAATATTGTAATATTGTAAAGGTGGTGGATAAATCACTTTGATTTCTGGCATATAATTTAAATAATAAAAAAAATTACTATAAAACTATGATAATAGATGCAAAATATAAAAATATGTAATTTGTGACATCAATAACATAAAGAGAGGGTGAATGTAAAGGAGTAGATTTTTTTGTATGTAGTTAAAGTTGTTATAGTTTAAAATAGATTGGTATAACTAGAAGATGTTTTATGTAATCCTTATGGTAAACACAAAGAAAATGCCTATAGAATATGCACAAAAGAAAATGAAAAAGGAATAAAAGTATGTCACTAAACAAAAAAATAAATGAAACCCAAAGGAAGCCAACAAGAGAAGAAAAGAAGGTCAGAATAACCACATATCATATAGAAAATAGTAAAATGGCATTAGTAAGTTCTTCTGTACCAATAATTATGGTAAATGTAAATGGATTAAACTCCCTAATCAAAAGACATAAAATGGCTTGATAGAAAAAAGTAGAACTAT